GTATTCCACAGTTTTCTTAGATTTAAACGCCAAGAGGCAGTTCGGAACAAATCCCTTCATGGAACCTGCATGACAAATAATTAAGCGTTCGCCTTTGCCACTAGGTACTTTTGTGGAGGAGTGAGGAGTGTCGTCTGTCTATATCTTACCAACTGTATGATTAGCGTTTAGCCATGTCTCATCTAGAAATATAACATTATTCCAAACGGCAATGGACTTTGCTGATCTCGGAAAATTAAATCTGGCTAAAGCTATATCTCTACGTTCCATCAAAATCCACCTTTTATCACATTTTTTATAAGAAAAGCCAACATTTTTTAAAACCCTCCAGAAAGAAGTTCTACTGCCGTGAAACAGTCCAGATTCTCGTAAAGTATTTGACAATTTATCGAGAGTCGGCACTCGTTCCTACTATAGTAGCCATAGATATGGTTTCTAATGGCGTCGTTATCAAATTTGTTGATAAAATTCTAAATTTTTTCTGAAGTGGCGATTTTAATTTGTTATCTTCCATTAAGTCTTTACCATGTTTTTCCTTACTTATTCGGGAAACAGTTTTTCGACTAATACCAAGAGCTGCACTTACTCGGTTAGTCACTTGTGAAAGTGGCAACAATGGACCACCCCATCCTGATACTCTCTTTCAAAGTAATCTTGTAGGCGTACTACAAACTCTCGCGCTTGACTGCGCATCACTGTTCTTTTAGTGGTCTCAGTTTCGGCCATAGTGTTTATAAATACAAAAAAAAACGAAATCAAATAACAGTCAAAACGTAATAACAACGAAAGAATTATCAAACAGTTATAACTACAATAACAAGAACGAAATAAAAATACAACACAAAATCAACTAAACTGAACTCGTACTGAAGAGACATACAAAATGGCGGTCGCGATCACGAGGTGGACGCAGTGCTGACAGATTTTCACTCGCGAAAAGAATCTGTCTATAATCGATTTTATACGATTCTTTTAGTCACGTCACTATGTAAAAAGTAAAAATAAAACTATAGAACGTAAACGCAAAACGGCAGTAAAATATTATTATCTTTTAAAGTTTTAATTATTTTGAGCACGATGTCTAAAAACAATATGTTGATTGTGTGTGTGAATTAATTGCATAATGATTTAGATTGATTGTGTATTTTTAAATGATGATTTACGACCATGAACAAAAAATTATTATTATTTCAAATTATGCAAAACGTGAAGAGTTACGTTCTAAGAAGTGTCAAAAGGGTGTAGCATATTTTTTTTAAATATTTTTTAAATTTATGAAACGAATGCATCTTGACCTTTTGACGATGTCACTACACTAAATGACAAAAATCGGGATTTTGTTGCTGATGTTCGGTCTATCTACTACTTAAATGTCTTTGACTAAAGCCTTTTCCAATGAATCGGTACCTTTTAAATTTTGCCAAGTGGTAGGTTGCAATACACTGAAATTGGAGACAATTAACGAAATTGGAGACGGTTAACGATGCTGTAATCCTCAATAGAATATATCTTTTTAACAAGTTTTCAGGATCTTGTAGACGTTCATCCATGCAAATTTATTAAAATGGCGTTTAACTTGCCCCTGAATTTAAGGAAGTCCTAAAGAAATTCATAAGGAAATAAGGGATCTTGGAGACGTTCATCTTCGCAAATTTTATCAAAATGACGTTTCACCTTCCAAATAAATCACCATTTTGCTATTCTGTTTGCTCCCGTTTTATAAATTTCCAGATTCAGTTCTATGCTTTACAAGGTCTTCCAGGCAGACTTGCAAGCGCTTTAAGACATTTTAAAGATCAATGGCTTTAGATCGGAGTGCTCTAGGTCTCTAGGATGGTCTGTAAAATATTGCAATGGAAAACCAGTACTTAACATAATGAAGTTATAGTTTTCGACCTTCTTATTTAGTAGAATAGCTTTATTTCTTTCATCTGCCTTGGAATTAAATAGAATAGTTTTTGTAAGCGCTTTTTGTGTTCAACAAACCAAACTTTTAAAGTAAAAATGACATCGAAACGTCCCTCCAAAAAAACGGACAGACAGACAAAAATTTAAATTTTTTTTTTCTTATAAGTACCGTATATAATTTCATATGCATTTAGTAAGAAAGCTATTTTTTGACATTATAAACAGTCTTGCTCTTCATCTAGCGTTTCATGTAACTGCAATTGTCGATATAAAAAATATTAATGCAAATGATCTTTCGACGTCTAGTGATTTTCTATAGCATCCACAATATATTTTCAATCGTCGTCTATTTGCGAAAAAGCAATATTGTTCACAATATGCTTTTTGAAATAATAGATAATAGGACAGTCATGTATGTTTTAATTTCACGTCAGACTTTTCGCCCGTTTTCGATCACAACCCGGTTCAATTGAATATAGAGTTCTTTAAAGTTATCCTTATCAGTGACATATAGCAAAGATTAAAATTTTTCCAATATAAACATTTTTACGGTTATTTGCTTTACTTTCGTAAAGCTACTTTCTTTCGTTCGGTTCTAACGATTTGGATCAAATATTATTAGTTCAGATTAGTTTATTTATCAATAGCAAAAATAAAATTTAAATATCATTAAATTATGTAGAAAACTCACAGCGCATCATAGCTCACAAATTAGCAGAACTGGTGTGATTTGTTTTGTAGTTTATGGCATTTTGTTATTATTAATAGCAATAACAAGTTGAACTGAAGTCATAGAACGTACGAGAAACGCATATACCACATCATATTTTTTTTGCAGTCTTTACCGGCGTGTGTGAGTATAAATAGCGAAAGGAGAGAGGTGAATAGAGGTGTCGCCATTTTCAATCCCATTCGTTAACCGCACGGGTAGTAACTTAAATTCATTAAAGAAAAAAACTAATAACTTAAACTAAATCTTGTAACAATAAATGCTAAATAATAAAAATAGGTATGGTCATGGCCCTCTAGGGCCGGGGCCCTCTTCCGAATGGGGGCATTTTACCCAACCTGCCACTTTTATACTATGCCAATGGTTCCTATGGTGTGTGTCAAGATAATGTGTCTGCTAAGACGCCTTGATATACTACCGCCACCTACGGTCTATTGACTCAAGCTGCCGTCAAAATCTCTCAAATACTTCGCATTGTTACTCATCGGCATATTGTGAAGAAGTTTTTAAACAAAAACCTACAAAACCGAAAATCCCGAATGAAATAAAAAATGGCTGAAAAGACAAGCATCCAAGCCAAAAATCCTAATAAATAAATACATAAAAGACTGGCAGTAGGTCGTCATGTGTTTTATAAATAACGTAACGTTATCGTAATGGTACAACAGATAACGTTATCATAACTATCTATATTCATAACTGTCTCTTTTCCATTTAACGGCAACGTAACAATATTACTAGCGTAGACAGAGAATGCTAGCATGAAATTATGGCATCCATTTTTCCTTGATTGTGTTGAGACTGCGGTATAGATGATGGCATCACGGAGGTTGAATTTGACGTCTAGGGCTGGCTCAATAAGTTATTTTTTAAGTTAATGCTTGACGCATGGGCTGGGACACCCAAAATATTCACAGGTCTTGATTAGATCTATCAATAATTTGCTGTTCCAAAGACACTTGTGTGTACGCTTCTATATCGCTGCCATAAATGTAACTTCAGATTACCCGGACAGAACTTTATAATAAACAGCACGAAGTTTAAAATTGCTTTATTAAACACATTTTAAAGTCGTTATACATGTATCCATATGAAAAAGAAAGAAACTTATTACTCGAATTTCGCTTCATTCACCTACACGTTTCAAAATGGGCCCCGCTGCAGTTTCGTCCTTATTGTTACGGCATAATTTTCGTTTTTGTATGGTATACATCACGATCCGGCCCGCTCCAAGCCAACGCAACGTTGCAGCGTTGCGGTTCAAAGGTACTCTGTGCGTTGCGGATCGTTATAAGAAATAGACGGTTATGAGAGTTATGTATACTAGTCGTTTACTTCAAGAATGCCGTTACCTACCGCCGCGCCCCCTCATTCCGCGCCTCAAGCGTCGCCCTTTTAGTACCGATAGCAACGTCGAAGTGTACTTACGTCCGTTATAAAGTAAACTGAAGTAAACAGACGTTTCCATTTCCTTAATTGTCTTTAGGTTATAAAGCCCGCCACACACTACATACGGAATTCTGTTTCAAGATTCCGAAACGAAACGAACGGGTCGGCCACACACATACGGAATCGCGTTTTGCTCGCAAAATTCCGTACGGAAAACTACCGTAGGTGTGTGATGATTCATTGATTTTATATGAACTTGCTGCGTTCGGAATCCTGAATCAGAATTCCAAAACGGAATCTCGAAACGGAATTCCGTATGTATGTGGCGGGCCTAATGCTCATAGCTATAAAGGACTTAAAAAAACGTTTTGAAGTTTTTGCGGGAATTTGGCCGCCAGTGGTTTGCTGCTCTTGTTTTATTGTATAAATAATAGTTTGAAGTGGGTTCCGATACGTAAAACTGATCCGATTTTGTGTATTAAATTTCTGTGCATGTGAAATAATGGTGAAAACGATGAAACAAGTGGTCATTTGGTGATGTAAACCTCAAGATAATGTGTCTGCTTAAGCGCCTTGAGATACTGTCGTTATTCACCGTCTGTTGGTTCAAGCTGCCTCCAAAATCTGCCAAATACTTTGGATTGTGATGCATTAATACATCGTGAAGAAGTTTGTAAACAAAAAATCTATAAAAAGTAAGATCCCGAATGAACTTAAGATATGTCTTAAAGGACAAGAATCCAAGTCAAAAAATCTTAATAAAAAAAAGAGCGTTATATTTTGAAAGTTTGTACCGTTGTACCCAATGATATAAGAAAAAGAGAAGAGAAGACACCTTTTTACTTATAATATCATTGTTTGTACCATAATACCATTGTACTTTGTAAATGAACGATTTGTAAAAAGTTACTAAATTGTGTTTTGTATTTTTGAATTTTCTTGAGATTAGTTTGTGAAATTAGTTTGTTAAGCAATGGCACCTCGCGGAACTCCAAGGGTGACGCCAAAAGTACAACGAAATATTTCGACAAAAACGAATACTACTAAAGCTAATTCATCACCAGTAACTGCAATAAAAAAAGTTATTGCGACCAGAAATACCCCGGATAAAAGCAATATAAAAAGTAAGTTTATGTTTAATGTCGTGCCTTTTAGACTTTTAGGGTGAAGTTTCTAATTTAAACCTCGCTTGTATTTTTCAGTGTCAAGTACAAAGAAGATTGAACCAAAGCAAAGAACTAATACTGTTACAAAAGTAAGCACACCAAAATCCAAAGAGAATAAGCCTATAATTCTTTCTGGAAGTGTAACAAAAAGTGCTAAAAAAGCTCTGTGGAAGAGACGTCCCAAACCTGCCCATTCGGGTGTTCCAGTTCCAGAGAAAATGAAAAGGTTGTTAGAAGAGCAATTGCAAGATTCAGATTAAATTGGCACTTGATTATGTATATGACTTGTATTTATAATACTAAAACTACATTTCGTCCAGTTTTAATAATGTAACATGTAATCACACTAATTTTAGTGAAGAAAGTTAATATATTTGAATGCATAAACTACTATTAGTTATAGTTGTCAACTTTTTTTATTTTATTTTTGTTTTTATAGGAGGATGACAAACGGGCACAGTCCACTGATGGTAAGTGGTTGTTGTGGCCCATAGACATCTACATCTATCTTCGATTACAAATCTAAATGCAGATGCGTTGTCACTAGAGATTGGCTGAATATTCGTTTTATATTAGGTATTTGGCATATTCGGCAGGTTTACTGAATATTCATATTCGGCTAAATCACCGAACATTCGTTAAAATTGTACTCCAAAGTGTCCACTGTATTGAAATGTATGAATTGAGTAATGCCATGTCTTTAATAATTTTACTGTTGAAAGTATTATGGTAGTATAGTATATTTATGGGTAAAATCTACTTATATACTGTTAAGTTTTTGAGAGGCACTGTAGATTACTGTAGATTTTATCCAAATATAGCAAATAGAAAGCTTGATAATTTTTTTTTTTGGAACATACAAAAAACATTATTTTACATTAGTACTTTTCACTTTACTTCGGTCATTAGTTTCTCTAAAATAAGTCCAAATGGTAGATCTCCTGCCACTCATTTTTATCATATTATAATTATCAATTTTCACTAGGAATAACACAGCGAAATACTTTTTTGACAAAAATAGTCAAAATATAAGCATGTGCTGGCGAATTGTTCGGTACTAGATGTTGCAATAACATGTCAGATGTTGCGGGGGAGCGAGGGGAAGGGCTCTGCGCTAATCCGCGCGCTTTATGGCAACAAGTTTCAACTATAGATACAAAATTAAACAGAAATACTATTATATTAATATTTAGGATAAGAACAGGTCACATTCCATCAAAAAAATTTTCTTATTTGACGAAAAGAACTGATTCACTGAACTGTGAAATTTGTGCAGTAATTAAAGACTTACATCATTTTTAATGAAATGTGAGCAGAACCGAGGGGCAAGGGAATTATTTGTAAGCACATATAAGATAAATGTGTACAATACAGATGGTATTGCACAGGGCATCCTACATGCCCACATAGGAATATCAACATCGGATATTGCATTAAGTATGTGCAGATTAATAACAAATGTATAGATTTTAAGTTAGCTTTGATGGGATTGACTTGTTAGCGAACAAAAATCCCTAAATAAAACAAGAAAAAATGAAAACAAGTTTCGACATAAATTGGTTAAGTACCGAGGTGATCCTGCCGAATAATGTTCAGCCGAATATTCGTATTCGGTGAAATCTATATTCGGCCCATCTCTAGTTGTCATCCGTGAGGACTAAGGTGGAATGCCTCTTTTCCAGTAAAAGGGTCTTTACAAGGGAGTTTTACTAAAATTTACGGTAGTATGAGTTTTTAAGGTACATAGGATTCAGGCCAACTCCAACCGCATCCTAGTGATGCTCTCAAATGAGTTGACTGTCAGTATCTGAACCATTGCTTTATGGTTCATGTACTCAATATAATTGCCAAATTGTCCTTGATAGCTATTACAATTTTTAAAGTTTGCTTTATGAGCGGTAATCCATTCGGTTTGGATCTTAATAATATAAACATGAAAATGTCTATGTTTTGGTATTTGTTACTCAATCATACTAAAAGAGCTAAACAAATTTTATAAAAAATTACCAGTAGATGTAGATGTCATAGTGTCAACTTGTAATGTGCTGGCTTGTCACTAGACCGCTAATTTAGGTGAATATTGTTAAAGCAAAAACTTAAATTGAATAAGTAGATTGGACAATACATAATTTTTAAGTTGTTTCTACTGAACTTTACTTATTTATATAAAATAACTGAGGTTTTACACTGTATGAATATAATCTATTCTGATTGTGTGCACTGTGCAGTGATTGTCACAAGTTGCATATTATCATAGAAACATCAACATTTCATTTATTTTCTTTTTGATTTAAGATAATTGTCTTTTTTACTGGGAAATCAAAATGACTGACTAAAAAGTGTATCTTGTACTTAATGGAAAATTTTTCATTAAATCTAAAATATATTATTTCAAAATATATAAAGCTTGCATGTTTTTAATGTGGTACATGCTATGCTGCAGCTGTATTTTTCTGCAGTACAAATTAATAAGTTGCTCTACTGGGGAAAGACCATGCTTTTACTGAATGCCGGCATGACATAGCACCATACTGCTGCTGTGTTGTGTATGAATGTAATGAGAATTGGAGACCCCTTTTTAATGCTAACAAATTATTCCATTTTATTTTTGTGTTTGATAACATGTTTATTACCCTTCAAATCCCATTCTTTATCTGCATATGTAGTGGTAGACACCTTGGTAGTTTTTTTTAAAATACAATTTATCCTTAGGTGTTTACACTAACCACAGGCAGCACTGTGATTAAATTCTGTACAACTAAATTTATTTTTCTCAAAAATAAAGTTTAATGTTACCTAAAGACAAAATATAATTATGAAACACATCCTCTTTTCTGCAAACCACCACAAGCAACATGTAATAAGTCTATTTCCTTTTGTAAACCAGACACTAAGCTATTCTGGTGGCTGGGATTGTTTAACAATTATTTAGAAGTAAAATAAAAAAAGACAGTGAGGACAGAAAAAACCAAACATCTTTTTAATTTGTCTAATGGTGATAATTTATAATAAATAAGACTTCCAATTCCATACAATATTACCTATTTTATTTATAGTTAGTATAATCCTGGTTTATACCTTGCCATTTTCAAGATTGTAGGTAAAGTATAATGTTAGATTGAGGCTTTAATTAATTATAGTACTGGTCAGGAAGTATAAATTATGTTTATCACGTTATTGTAATAATAAATGTATCCACATAATTTTTACAATGTACAGATAAACATTACTTTTCGTAGTGCGATAAAATAAAATTATTGGTGCCATATCAATATAATTATAAAATGATATATAATTCCAATTAATTTTGTGCATTTTATAGCTAGAAATTTATTATGTGTATTTAGTTTACAAAATCAACCTTTGTGAATTATCTTTCAGCTCCATTTTAATAATAAATATGTTAGTTATATTTGACACTTGCTATCTACATATATTTAGACATGCTAAGATTATTGAGAAATAATTATTTTAAGTAAATTCATTTACATATACTTTTTAATTATCTTTCAAAAAATATCTAATTTATTGGTTATTATTGTATTTTATTTTGTTCTGTATCGGAGCTAGGATTATGGTATATTAAAATAGATTTTTATTTATTGCAATAGTCATATTTTGTACCACATTGTGCGTGGCAAGTTCAGAAATCTCAACATAGTTTTTTTTAAATAAAATTGAAGTGACATGAACTAACAGTCCACCTGATAATAAGTAGCCCCTCAGTCAATGGACATCTGCAGACAAATTCATGTTTATTAAAGTGGCTCTCTGGATATGTATACTCTTCAGACTGCAAGCATTGCTATTTAGTGACAGAAATAGGTAAGAAAGTAGATAGCTACCTACCTACTACCTCCTAGGTAGAAACGGATATACCATCTAGTTTTTTTTATAATCCTATAACAACTGTGTGACAAATGAACACACAGTCCACTTGATGGTAAGTGTTTGCTGTGGCTCATAGACATCTATCAGAAGCATTGTCACCCTGAAGGACTAATCTGGAATGCCTGTTTTCCAGCAAAAAGGGTATCCGGTTCTCTACACTCAACATACAATAGAGCAGGGTTAAGATACTATTTATGTCCTCCGGTCGAGCCGACATATTCGTGCTACAATTACTATAGTACTAAAATAGCTGCAGCATGGATCTGCCATATATAAAAGTAAAACCATTGATGTCATAAGAAATAATAAGTGACGGCTATAGAAATACTGTATGATTTTGTTGTCCAGTATCATAGGAGCTCCAAAGGGCACCCTGGAGCTGCAGAAGAAGGGATTCTAAACAAGCTTGCGGCTCTCACCTGATGGTAAGTGACCACCTACTACCTACAAAAACTAAAGCGGAGAAATTGAAGGTGTATTGCAGGCTTATTAGAAAGGTGAGCGCTCTTTCTGAATGGTCGCTAAATCGTAATGTAGTACTATTATTTATTTTGTGATAACGGTCTAAAAACAGTTGTCGACATTAAATTACATGATACTCTCTTACGGAGAAGAAAACTGAAAAAACGTAAAGTGGTAGATTGCCAACAAACGAGATTTTGAGCTCTATCGCAGACGGTAGAACTTCGCAGGTGGGATGAATCCGAACAACTCTGGTGCGTTTCCTATGATAAATTCGATAAAATATGCAAATAGATGCCAATCTTTCCTACTCCCTATCCTCGAATATGCCTTGTTTGTTACCTTAATATCACCGAGAGGCAACTTGACAAACTTGAGCTACTCAAAAGTCTCTGTGTACGGTTCATATTTGGACTTCATAAATATGACCATGTCAGAATACCGCACTAAGCTCAAGTGGCTCCCAATCCGTCTTTTTCGGAATACTCATATTATTACTGCCCTCTACTGCGTCTTATTTAATATATCAAGTACACCATATCTAAAAGAACGTATAAAAATACGCAGCTCCCGCCTTAATTTCTCCTTATGGTCCAAGGAAAATCTTTTCCTCAAAGCTCCTGTGTACTCCTCGACATTTCATTAAATTATTCTATTCTTGAACTAAAACTGGAACTTCTTTCCCTGCTCGATCCTTACGTGTTCAAGAAACAAGTGGAGCGCTATCTGATCTCTCTTCCTCCTGTTATTTATGATCAGTGATCCTCATACCTACAGTATGTTGTGCGCATAAGTTGGTATCCTTTCTTATTTAAGTGCACCTAATTCGTAAATCTTTCTCTTATTTTCATTTAATTCTTTTTCTGGACTTCTACCCCCATAGTTGTCTGGAAGTAATTGTTATGTA